TGATGGTACTCTGTGCTCATACAACCAGAGCTTAAGCATTTTTAGGGATGACGTGTGAATGATTTAAAAGTATTCAAAGAAAACAGTGGGACACCTGATTTCTCCTAAGAGTTAAAACTTGGCCTACCTTTAATTTTGCTTCAAAATGGAATTAGAAAAAATGAAATGGTTTAGGTGGACTATCAGAAGTTAATGAGAAATTTTTAAATTATTAGCACTTTTAAAAGCAAGTGATAAAGGGTTATTCTCCTTTTCACAAAGGAAATTGAATGTCTGCTCTTAATGGCAGTATTTTATATATAGTGAATGAAACAGTTCCTGCTAGGACAGCTGTAAAAAACTGGTAAAATTTGACCTTTGATTTTAGGTAAATGTTACGTATTTGAATAAAAGGTTGCATTTATAGGCAGTCACAGATTTTTTTTTATTATTTTAATGAAATCTTTAGAAGAGCTCAAGGGATAATCCAGGGAAATTTTTCAAATAGGCAACACTAATTTTGAACAAATTTTAAACAGTCAGACAAGGTTTTTCCTCTATCGTAGGATCCATCACTCTCCTAACTCAGTGTAAATTCAATCTGTTCTATTCGTATGACATAAACAACAAGCCGTTTCACAGGAATGAGGCAAACCATATGTGAAGGTGTTTTAGAAAGCACAACAGGGAATACACCAAACAAAGAAGCATCTGCATTTATTTCAATGTCAAATCACATGTGTATTATAAAGGGAAAGTTTATTGTCTTTATATAGAAAACAATTTTACTATATTGTACACTTTACAGTTAACGCTTCCTGCCCCTCAATTTGGGGGAGGGGGAAAATCAGCAGGTAAACATCATAGAGTCTACAGGTGTAGAGGTAGGGTTCTAAAGAGGTCTTCAGCCTTGCCCACCCTACCTAGGCTGCCATATGCTGACAAGAGCCTATTTCGTCTTCACCCTCTGCTTGCTACCCCTGCAACTGAGCTACTACAGGTAACACACAGAAATGCTGCGTGGGGCACTGGGTATTCCCTCAAAAAAGGCAGTGCCCTACCATAAACTAGTTTTATAGAAGCTGGCCAGAGTCAGTTTGACACACTTGGAGTTCAGGAGAAAATATTTCAAAGCAGCATTTAGCCTAGGTATGAGCTACAGGCACATTGTTAAAAAGCTAATTGCACGGAGACAAAGGATGATCGTTACTTTTATAATACTGTGAAATATTAACCCTTAAGAGCTGTGTTTGATGATAAGTATCTAACGACTGAACCTGCTAGTTCATTATTTATATATAAACTCAAACCTGAAGATTCCTGAAGTCACAGAAAGTGTTTATGTCTTTGTCTTTTTTTTGTATTCAGTTAGACAAAGGTTTTTGAAATATGGGATTTTTTTCCCCACTCCTCTAAAACTATGCATAAAAAACACTGTTAAAGTGCTGAAGTGTTGAAATTATTTCTCAGATCTGTATTTTTATGCATATTCAGGAAATCTGGCTTTATAGTGACAAATAGCCTTGAAGAACATTTTTTCCTCAAATTTTGCTTGTTTCAGGGAACAGAAGAACAGAACTAGAGAGCTTCTGACATTAGGTTTTGGGCTGCAAGGGTCAAAATTCCTTCAAATATTCCTCCTTCTCTCTCAAGGTTACAGATCTCACCTGTCTTATTTAGACAATAGCCACTAAAAACATTCATATTCTGCTGCAGATTACACGAGCTATTAGTTCTAGGAACACAAAAATCAGAGAAGAGAAGTTCAGCAATGCTGGGTTGCAAGGTAAGGTCCTGAGGTCAGCTGTCCAGGAAGGTCTGCAAAGCACTTGGTGAGCATTTAGCATCTACCAGGCTGTGACTGCCCCTGACCACCTAAACAGCATGGATCTCCCTGAGTCTTTTGGACTCAAGCCCCTCATCTCCAGCTCACCGGACCTAAGCAAAAGCCTGATGCTTTTAGCAAGGCTGTATGGGGGCACAGTGGGAAAGTCACTCGTAGGCTGTGAGATCCAACCTGAAGGCTGTGGCCTTCTGCAGCCAAAAAGCTCTCTATGTGTATAATGCCCACTGTAAGGAGATTTGACTATGGCCTACGGATGTGAGACACCACTGTCAAATTAATATGAATGAAAAAGGACAAGCATGCTATAGCAACAGAAACAAAAAAGCATCACAATTATCAGAAAAACATTTGTGATCACAAAAGAATATCTTGCTCGTACTCGCCAATCTTCCCTTTGGCAAGCCCTACAAGAAAAGAGAATATGAGAGAAAGGAAAGAATAGAGAAAAAAATTACAGGGAGAGGCAGGGAGAGAATGGGGGGAAAGAGAGAGACTGAGATAGAGTGGATACTTCTAACTTGTCACAGTACAACACTAGCTTTTAATTAATACAGGGTATGTACAACTTTAAAGACTGTTGGTTGTGCAGTATTTTATGATAAATACATTTTATGGGATTTTGTTTTTAAAGAGGATTTTGTAAAATAACCTAGCCCAATAAATTATTTACCAGCTACAATAAAAGATCAAGGAAATTGCTCAGATTGCATCTTGGAGCATCTAAAACTCTGAAGTTTATGGAGATCTAAGCTGCCCCCAGATCTACAGTGCTATTAAAAATTTTTGTAGTAGCTAATTATCTTCCATTGCATTTTTTAAAAGGTAGCAATCATAGAAGAAAGGAAGGTCTGGAAACAGACAAAAAGGAGTTGATGCCCTTTGATGGAGAAAGTAGGAGGGAAGGAAAGGAGGACACAGACAGCAGTGAGTAACAATTGAAACCATGCTGATATGGTAACAAATGGAACTAACAATTCATAAGGTATCAGATTCTCCTTAAGTCACTCAGGGAAACTGAGGTTGAAAAATATATTTTAGGGACACATACTACATGTAATATCTATATTATTTGACCAAGAGGGGAGTAATTGTTTTGCTATTTTTTTTCTTTCCGATAAAGATGATGACCACAAGTGAAGTAGAATGTGAAGAAATTCCCTCTAAGTTCTGCTTTGTTCTAAACTTATGGGACTTTAACATAATACATAAGTAAATAAAGCAAGAACCTGTCTTTATTTCAAACAGGGTGATGGATACAGTAAATAGAATAGCACACTGAAATAACAAAATACTAACCTAAGGTAGGAGAGACAGCCCAGTCACTCTGATGCATTGCTTGTAGCCTTTGTTTTGTAACAGGAATATATGGTTCATGCCCTGTAACTTACTGTGCTCAGACATACCTCTGCCTCCCCAGGGAACCCCAGCAAAGTCAGTGTCCCTACAGGCATGGGGGTCCAAGGAGAGCTGGGCTTCCTAACAAAGGACAAAGAAAAGAAATAGAAAAGAAAATGGAAGAAAGGACAGCCACTTTTTCTTAGTCCCCATATCAGACAGTGAGGTGCACACCAACTTAGACAAATACCTGTTCCCTCTGCTCCTCCGGATACCTTGTGCAGTCACAAAGGACACAGACTTCAAAGCCTGGGGCCAGGCTGCTGCAGGGACAGCTACTAGAAACCAGCACGTGCTCCAGGAGTGCTCCAGTGCTGAGGAAGTAGAGACTTGGGCCCCTTTCCCAACGCTTTCAAGCTGAACAACTTTGAAAAGAATAAAGTAGCAATGCTGCTAACTTCAAATGTACACAGAATCACAGTATGGTTGGGGTTAGGAGGGACTTTAAAAGCCATCTACTTCCAAACCCTTGGTCATGAGCAAGGACACCTTCCACCAGACCAGTTGTTCACAGCCCCATTCAACCTGGCCTTGAACACTTCCAGGCATAGGGCATATACAATTAAATGTTACAATTAAATGTTAGAAAGAGAGAAAGTGAAGTTCCCTGGTACTGAAAGTGAGCACCTTGAGATAGATAATTGATGATAATTTGGTTAATTTAATTTGAAAATTAAGGTAGGTAAAATGAAGCACTGGGAGCTGGCAAGGATATTTGGATGAACACTGCTACCCTAAAATCTATTCTTCTAGGCAAGGATGGGGGAGTCCTCAGTTGTCAAAAATAACCACAATCAGTTCAGCAGAATTATGACAGCCTAATTGTATGAGTGTGTGTTATTTTTCCAGCTGATTGCTGTCACCTCCAATACTCAGGGCTAACCACCTCTAGGGTTGAGTTCAGATTTCTATAGTGAAAATGCACTTTGTGTCTGTAAAGTCTTTACCAAACTTTCTGCCAACTTTTAAGGCACCAAGTAAATGCGGCGAGAGCAGGGAACAACAGGACAAGTGATATTGAAGGCTGCTTGGCTTGCCCATGATATAAGCCTGCCTCATGTTTTGATAGGGAAGTAATTTAAAACTAAATTTTCACAGACGTCCACTCTACTGTGATGTTAGTTTACTGGTTACTGTATTTGAAATCCTAGGAGCTGATTTGCAGAAGACCATAGGTGCCAGAGACGTTTTGAGGGCTGGGTTTTGAATATTCAAAGCACAATATGGAGCTATGTGAAAGTCTGTCAGATCATTTCATTTAGTGAAATGATCCTCATTGTTTTCTACTAATTACAAATAACTGTCTAGCTTTTGCAATTACCTAGAATATGAAATTCCAGGAAATATAAGTAACTGAAAAAACTTTGTTTTGATGAAGTCTTTTTAGTTTCACTTTATCTTTTCATTTTAAGACACTTCCCATATGTGTATTTTATAAAAGAGAAAACTAATAATCAAAGTAACATCCAAGAAAGATAGCATATTATTCTTAAAATGCTGAAAAGATTATGCCAGAAATCCTTTTGTATTTATTCCCCCGACACAGCTTCTCAAAGCAATGCAGCAATGTCAAAATTGCATTCTCAGACAAAAAGTGCTTCCAATTTTTTTTTAATCAAGGTCAATCATAAGTAATACTAAGGAGTCAAAAAATAATCCATGTATTTTGGGGGTTTTTTGCAGTCCAGTAACATTCATTTAAATGTAGGTACCTCTTGAATCATGGAATAGCAAGGCATACTTTTGGGTTGTAAAACTATTTGATGCTGAGATCACTTACCACACAGAAAAAGTATATTTCTCTAACTCTTCCAGGTAAAAATTGCTCTCTACAGATGTTTTCTCTTCTTCTTGGCTTGCATTGTTCTCAGGACCTGATCTTTCCTCATGACATTGGTCGGGTGGGTTATTCCAGTTGATCTTTAAATGAAAAGAAAAAACAAGTTAGAATAGTAAGGCAATTAGCACAGCTGCTCCTCACAGGACAGGCCTTCCAGCCCTGCCATCAGCTTTGTTGCCCTCCTCAGGACACTTTCAAGGACCTTCAGAACCTTCTCAACCGGTGGGACCCAGAGCTGCACACAGAGTATTGTTCCCTGAATGGATTTATGTTCCTATAAGGCTGTGGTTTGACAAACCCTCTCAAGGAGGTGTAAGCTCATGCTGACTCCAGTAGTCATCCAGTCTTCCTCTACCTGCTTGCTTTTTTCTGTGTTGCATACCATCTGTCAGCATAAAGATTTGGATATCCCCATAGTAAGCCATACAGAGGGAACTAACCTGAGAATGGAATTAATGCTGTTTGGCTTAATTCTTTTTCTTTTATTTAACTGGGTTAGCTCTCAGCTGGACCCATTCTGATCCAGGCCACCCTGAGCTGGTGCCTGCACAAAGCAGGAGAGGGACGGTACTATATCTTTCAGTGCTCTGGAACTACATTTTTGCATGCACAGGGTCTGCATGCACTGGCATTGCTTCTCTGAAGTGACCATCAGATGCCCTGCATGCTTGGTGTTATTGCCCCTGGACAGAGAGACAAACATCACTTCCAGCAAGAGACACAAAGAGGTCCTAACTTATCAGACAGACATCTGCAGGAGATTTCAATGATACTATCTATTAATATCTTCCCAGGCAAATACCAGGCTCTGTAAAGGGTTTGCTAACATTTAGTGAACAAGCCTAGAGAAAACAAAGGGATGGAAATTAATATATGTTATGTTCAAACTAGTAACAGAACTCCATTTTTGGTCTTCCTGTTAGACAGGGAGATGGAAAGTATACTGTTTAGAGGTAACCACAAAGACAAATTTTGATTCTATATTCCTTGATGTCAACTTTGCAGAGCAAGTGGTTGAAATTTTCTAGCCAATACTAGAAGATAACCTAGATGATTTAAGTTACTATTTGACTTTCATATTTATGAAGTTTACTCTGTAGTAACATGAAGTTTACTCTGTAGATCTCAAAAAAACTCAGAGTTCCCAGGGAACAAAGCACTGACATAAGATGTAGTCACATCACTTTACACTTTGCTAATTATGAAAACAACAAAGATTTTTTTTCTTTTTAAACTCTGTAAACCATTTTGCTCTCAAAGGCAAATTTGTATTCTGAAGCTTGGATTACATTGACCTCATTCACATTTTGAATTTCACAGACGTAAGAGACAGAAGTTCATATTTGTACCTACAAAATGCAAATACCTACATACTATTATCGGTAAATATGATATAATCAACTTATTCTCAGTGGTCATTGGAAAAGCTGCCACAAGCAATAGAATATATTGTCAGAAAGAGGTTCTATGTAAACATGAATAGTTAAGGCAGAGTAGAATTGGATAGCATGCTTAAACCTGTTTTCAAATACTAAGACCAGGCAGACACAGATTTTACCCAGACACACAACTGCCCAACTTAATTCCACAGAAGTCAAGGTTTCAGAGCACGTAGTGTGTGCAAGCTACCTTGCTTGCTGACATTGCCTCCATGAAACTATGCCTGTGCAAAGTAGATGTAAAGACATTATTTAAGACATAAATCCCAAAGGCATTAAAGAGTATTAAGAGCTAATTTCTCTGACTGTGTTTGATCTTGTCTAAAGTACAAAACCAGAAACTCAGTCATCTACATGAGGATGGGATTATAACCAGAGAATATATATTTTTTTCTCTCAGAAGTCACTGACCATGAGCATCCTCTCCTTTATTGCTACCATTCAATATCTTGAATACATTCAATAGTGTGTACACTTGTTAGAACAAAAACTAAGTGCTAATGCCCGAGAGAGACTATTTGCAACTCCTTAGCATAGATGAATTTGGGGGCAGGGTGGGCAAAACATCTATATTCCCCAAAAAGTTGAGGTCAGACTTAAAGATCTTTTTGTTTGTTTTTGTTATTAAAAAAAATAAATTTTAAAAATATGTTTACAAGAAGAAAAGGGACTGCTAAGGAGAATAAAACACTACAGAAATTTCTGTCTTCTTCCTTAAGTCTGCTCTTTACATTAGTTTGTCATTGTTTCCTAAATATGACTGTTACATAAAAATATTTTACAAGATGGTATCCAGAGATACAAGTAGGTCCAAATGATATCAATTAGGCCAAATGCCTAAATCTTGAACATGCTAAAACAAGGCTCTCTCTGAACATTAGGGTTCATTCATGCCTCTAAAAAAGAGGGGCTCTTACAACCTTTGAAAGGATATTTCACATATTCGCATTTTTTTCATGCAGAAGCATTCTCATAAGAGGCTCAGTTCAGAAATCTATACAAACATGTCAATAACTGTAAGCTAGTCAGTCATTTCACTGAGTCCAGAGGGACTAGACAGTGCTGAATTCTCACCTCACTGAAACCAGGTCACTTTAATGTGTCTTTGAGAGCCACCCACAACTGAAGTTCCTATAAGAACGTGGCATTTTGTTCAAAGGCATCATATTTTTATGCAAATGTAGGAAATCTGTCACTCCCATGGGTTGGGTTGCTTTGCCCACTACATCCGCTCCATCAGTCCTCAAATTGTCCTTCCTATAGATATAAGGCCACACACACACATGCATGCACACATCAGTCTGAAGTTATGTTTATATATAACTCTGTTTTCTCCAAGTTATCCTTAACTTCCTGAAAAAATAAATCACTTAAAAACTTATCCATTTAAAATGGAGGGAACTTCTAGTTGCCCAATCTGTTTTTACTCAGAGAAGTAGATCATCACACTACAAAAGTTGCAACAATAATTCCCAGCCGTTGAGTGTTTGTGCTGCAGCTCATGTACAGGTATAAATGTATAGTACATAAAATTTGTGAGTACTCTGAGTACTGTGATGATTTTCTTCCATGCACAATTAAAAGCATTAAAAATGTTTCAGAGTATATCTAGAACAGGGTAAGACAAATTACCGGAATGATCAATTTGAATATTCAGGTTTGCAGTTATAGTTCTCTGCAACCATGCTGATTTAAGGACGGAAGTGGAGCAACACTTACAGAGAAAAATTGCAACCTGCATTGGAAAATACCTAATTTTATAATATAATGCAGGTAGAAGCAATTCTTAGGAATATGAAGTTTTCTTTGTGTCTTAGTCGTCAGGATTTACAGTAAATCTGAAAGTTTCACTGGCATTTCACCCAGAAAGTGTTGTCATGATGCAGATATGATTTTATGGAAGCTTGTACTGATGACACAATATTTGTTCACAAATTAATTATGTCCTTAACCAAGATACTACAAATATTATACTAAAAGTATCTGACGGTAGGGATCTTCTGCACAAGTACATGAGAGCTTGAAGGTTATAGATGCATCTCATGTTTAAACATTACTGAAATAATACCATCCTGCAGCACAGACTTGATCAAGCTGCTGGTATTTGATTACCATTAGGATGGTCTTCCCCTACTACTCCTTTGAAGCTTCCTTGCTGGAGGAATTTGCTCCCTATAGATATATGCAGGAGACAGCAGTACACCTGGCTGTGGTCAGGTAGCCATAAAAAAATTCACAGGGGTAGATTAAAGAAACACAAAAACAACAAGTAAGCCCACAAATCATTCTCAAATGGCACAGGTAGAAGCTCCAATGGCTTCTCTGCATGCATTAAGGGAGACAATGATGTCCGTATCAAGACTTGTACCTTGCGATGTCCTCCTTGGACTTCCTTTGGCCAAAACAAGTCACAGTGCTCATCTGCACTGCCATGGCAATCTTGGTAATCCTCTGCAAGAAAAAAATAACAAACAACAAAACATACATTATTTTTTGTATTGGTGCATAAGATAAAGCTCTGGAAAGGAAGAAGCTGGGTTTTGGTCCTCCTCCCAACAAGATTCTATCTGACTTTATGTAGATCATTTTTCTTCCTCTATCCTAGTTATAAATAGGTGGTTATTTCTGTACTACCTTCCAGAAATGTTAGTATGATAAATGCAGAGAAGACTTCAGATACTGTGTTCCTGGAAATAAAAATTGTATAGATACAAAACAGGGGAAAAAGTAGAAATAAAGAAATAATAGACACAAGAAGGATGACATGGAAGGGTATTTTAAACACCCTAGGAAGTGTTCTTCAGAAGAGAGAAAGAAGTTAATTTTCTTGTATGGACATGGTTGTGGATCAAGAACAAGACAGAGGGTAAAAAGCATTCAAATAAACATTGCTTAGAAAACACAAGTCATGTGTCCCTTAAGCTCCTGAAAAGCAGTGACCTGTGGAATGAACAAAAATGTAATCGCACATTTCAGGAAGTAGTGGTGTGGCAGAAATAAAGGTCTGTATTAGACACTTTTTAATGTATTGCATATGGAAGCTAATCCAAAAATATACTTAGTTATTTTTTCCTTTTTTTTTTTTAAGTTATTTCCAATCCCACTCAGTAAAAGACAATCAAGTGTATCAAAAATCACAGTACAGGCAGGATCGGCTCTTAGGTGTTACAGTTGTTGATATAGTGAAGCCAGGTAAAACCTGGAAAGTGAGTTTAAGTAAAGCAATACAAGAATTAGAGAGTTAAATACAAAATGCAGGCTTTAAGCAAAAGCATAGAGAACCTAGTATTAAGAAACAGCGGAGATAATAAATCCACTAGAATACAGGACGCTCTGACATGAAAGAACATAAAGCATGGACAGAAAGAACTAAAACTGCTAGCATACACAAAAAAGGATATATATATATATATAAGAGAAACAAGGGGAGATAAGAAAAGAGATGAGCCAAGAAATCAGGTACTCTTGCCAGACACTGGAAATTCCTGCCAGAAGCATAAGGAAACTACCCAAATTAGGGAAGGTTCAAAAGTTTATGAAGATGATGATGAAAAGGACATTGAGTTCACAGATGAAGAAACAGGAACGACCCCTGAAATTCTCCCCAAATTGAAAACCACGCCTCAACTCCGCCTCAACTCCACCTGTTATGAATATTAAAAGTAGATATTGCAATGTAATGAATATTCATAGTATGTGATGTAATTGCTTAGCAGAAAATGTATAAAAAGCTCAATTATAAGTTACTCGGGCGGAGCAGTTTGTCCAGGGCGACCTGGGCTGCTCCCCGGCCGTAAATAAATACCTCCTGCTTATAGACTAAAAACTTTGTCTCTGAGCAGTCTCTCCGCGCCTTCTTGAGGGCAAAAATTGGCATCAATTCACATATACAATATACGCATATACAATGTCACAGTTGGATATCTTTCTTAGTTTCTACATATATGTATACATACATATGTATATGTATACATACATATGTTGTGTATGGTGAACATTCATAGTAAATGAGGCATTTGCAAGTATTTGCACCATCTGGGGTGAAAGAGGAGGTCTACTGAAATCAGTGAAACAGCATAAAATACAGCTGCTGGAAATGTCACATGTATGCACACATGCCATATAATCAGTTCAAATTATCTCTACATATTCCACATGTACGATACATGTATGAACCATAAACACATATTAAAATATAAATATACCTTTGTAAAGATGGTTACTGTGGTTTTCTTTGTTCAATTTTTTTTTCCTTTGGCACACAGAACTGGGTTTCCAAACAGCCCTGATGAAATAATGAATACTTTAACAACGTTTTTGGAGTCAAATGAATAAAGCAGTAATTATCTTGGCCAAAAAAATGGGACAATAAAAAGAATAAAGAAAACAATAATATTCTACATTTAAGAAATGGGTGGGAGAAGAAACTCAAGTCTGTTATTTAATCATGACATGCTCTTTTTATATTTTATTTGTAAGGCTCTCAATGCTCTTTTCTTTCTATACCAGTGAGCTCATTACTTTAATTCCTCATAGATTTTTCTGAACAATTTTTGCTAAATAAAAACACAATGCCTGTAACAGTAAGAAGCTGCTCAAATTAAAGATCAATAAAAAGCACAGAAAAAATCTGTATGAAAATAAATAAATAAAAGAGAAGATGGGAAATGCTTGCAATTAGGATGAAAAATCTAAAAAGAAATTAAATTTACTTGTAATACATTTCCCATTCTTTTCTTCATGAAAATTACTACTGAAGTGGGTTTTTTTCTGTAATTTAAATATTAAGCTGCCAGATGTGTGTCTCATGCTTGAAGAGTTGAAGCTTTGCATTATTTAGCATATTAAGATTCACAGAATTTAAAAAAGGGCTCCTTTATTGCCTGGAGGTTCTAATTAAGTAAACCTTAGCCTGGTACATTTAAAACTTGCAATACAAGATATTTTGCTTCTTTTTTTTCTCTGTAGCCAAGTCTCATCAATATAATAAATATGGAAAATACTTAAGATGATATAATTTTTCTTTGGCTTGAGGAATTAAACCTATCTATTATTTTAAGAAGTTTTTAATAGAGGCCAGCAATCAGAAGGACATTTAAAGACTCCAGTCTACTTTTTAATCATAGGATTGCTCTTAGTTGGGGGGGAGGAGGGAAACGTGTCTTATAAAACTGAGCCATGTAGAAATTGTTTCTTCCACATACACAAAAGAAAGCAGTTCTGAGAGAGAAACAAGAATCACACAGTTCTTTATTACTAAATTGCATTTTACTTTTTTATAACTTTTTATAATTGACCACAGAAAACTAATAAAGCATTAACTAGCTGGTTAATCAGCAATTTGTTCATTGAAAGAGTTGAGACTACTGTATCAGAAACTGTAATAGCATAGAAATTCCTGACATACAATACCCATAAATCATACCTTAAATACAGTTATTTTTGCCATTTTAGAAAATGTCAAAGGTGTCAACTTTGTCCAGATATAACACTTAGCAGTGACTATTTTAGTAAATTGACTCAAAATACATTTTGTTCCCTGGCAGGGGAACATAATACCATTCATGATAAAAATGAACAATTTGAGGAGGAGAAAATAACACCAAGAAAGAATGATCAAAGACAGGTATCATAGCTATGATAAAGGTACAGTGGCATGTGTAGACTCTCTGTTAATAAGTTTCTTTGGAAGTCAAGAAACATATGCACAAGAGCAGGAAAATATGATTGCACCAGGGCCTGGAAACAACAATAAAATTCTTAATGCAAAGCTCTATATCTGTATCAGGTAAGTCCAGCAGAATAGTTTAAATGTCTTTCATTTTTATAAGACAAATAGGAAAAAATGGGTGGCATTTTTTGTTACCACTGTGGAATGGGCATGGATTTGGAAAACACAGTGAGATGAATTTTATTTCCAGACCTTGATAATACTGAGAGAAGTCATTTCTGGGTGATATTAAGTCCCAACCAAATAGTTTAGATGTCACACAGATCATACCTCATATGGGATACAAAGAAAGGGTTAACTGCACTAAGTCCCTGAGTTCAGCGGGGCCTGGTTTTTAATGAATAAGATGATGTTGGAATAGAAAAATGTTGGTGTTACTCTGTTACCTCTCTCAGCATGAGCCTTCTCTGGGCAATAGCTAAGCATAATAGCATGACCTTTAAAATTAGAGGGTGTCTTACTGCTTTTTAACCCTTGTAGAATAAAACAAAACCTTTTTTTATCCTCTGCATTCAGTCTGGAAGTTATCATCTTTGGCTATGTCTTCTGTAACAAGTACTGTGGCGCAACAAGTGCAACCTGTAGAATGAAATCAGCAGTTCGGGGGACACCCCTTAACCCTGCTGTGTGTTGCAGACTTCATGTCAGGCTAGTTTTAGTTTGGTCCTGGGAACTGATGGCTCTGATACACACACCTAAAGCACATATGGTTGATCAGCTTCACCCTAAAGGTGTCCAGTGCTTGTCCTGTGAGATCTCTCTGCAGTGAACAACATACTGACAACTGGGGCAGGGCATTCACTTCAAAAGTGCCCAAAATACCTAAACGTTAATGTAAACACATCCTTTCTGAATGAGCATTAAAGAGGGGTGGGAAACAGATTCTCTATGATGTAAAGCTTTCAGAGGCTGTATATAGGGCAGATACTGCAAAATTTTTATATATTGGGAGGTGGGGGGAGAGAAGGGGAGGGGAGGGGAGAGTCTAAAAGATTTTTTTTTTTAAATATGGACAAAAAGAAATAACACAGCTAGGAAATTACAGTAATTTGATGGAAACTACTTCTGACTTATATGGAGGCAAAGTAGAGAAGGGAAGTCACTCCCTTCTGATGCATGCAACCTCTCTTTAAGTCAGTGGGAAAGGGTTTTAGAGTAGCGTGATCCAGGAGCGGGGCAGCAGACAAAGAAATCACCAGCTTGGTTAAGTTACTGCAGGGACAGAAAATAATATGAAGAACCTATCTGGACTCCCTCCCTAGTAATAGCCCACCCTGTGAGAAATCAAATAGCATGGTAAGAGTCGGAAAATAGAAGAGTTTGGATTGTGTGGATGACACAACTGTAAGTGGGAACTGGATTTGATCCCACTTGAAAGAATCAATCCAGTCCTTTATGCAGTCCTGCTCAGAGAAAGAAAAGACAAGCAGAAAAAGAGAAGGTTCAACTGTCTGAGGCTCTGCCTCTGGGGCTCTATCTGTAGAAAAAATGAGGGGTAAGCAATCTTCATTTTAAAATATCACTTTTTTCCTTTTAAAGTGGCACCCATGAAGAATTACCAGTAAGAACAACTTCAAGTTTCTTGGTATAGGTAACTATTTTTGTGTCTGCATATGACTGTTAGGTAGAAGTGTACAGCATCTCAGAAGGAAAGAACCTCATTGCAGTATAATGAGAAGTATTACAATGAAGATTCATTGGTTTGCATGAAATTGTTTCAGAAGTGGCTATAAGCATAAATATAACACTCTCAACAAAACTACTGGTCGCTTATATAAGTACATTTTAACGCTTTACATTAATGTAAAGCCTTTTCTCCAAATGTAATGATAAAATTAGAATGGAGCTGTGTCTGCGTTTGGTACTTTGATATGGAGGTGACATCTTAATAAGTTTCGAATAAAGTTCTGAGTACTATCTGCTAGTGTACTAAGCCTCTTGGTTAGCCTGATGCCATCTTTGCTTAGATGTTATTCTGAAGCTTTGTCCAGACAGAAATGCCTTTTGATGTCACAAAAGGACACAATTAACTTCCCAGCGTTTTTCCACAGATGCAGAAAGGGTGTTGAATTAGAGATCTTGAATATGAACAATATTTAACATCTATTTTCAATAGACAGTTTATTGTGGAAGACAGACATTGAGCAAAAGAATCCTTCTGAGGTAGAAGATCTGAAAATCGGGAGCTAAAACTTTGTCTTAGGTATGCCCTAGAAAGGTGATAAATCAGAGGGTTGAAGGAATCACAGAAGTGTTGTCAAGCTCCCAAAATGAGAAGAATACCAGCTGACTAACAATATTTATGAGAAATATTTCATGTGTTTCCAGAGAGTTTACTTGTGGTACATGCACAAATGGAGGCTTTGAAAAAAGAAATTAGACTTCATATGAGAGAAAGGCCAGGGAGCAGCTGCTGGGATGAGCATTGGTGGGAACAAAAATGCAGGCACTGTTGAACCACCAAATTAAATATCAGGTACAGTATAAATCCTAGTTTACATGTCATTCAGCAGAAATTATCTGGGCATTTCAAAAGGAAGGTTTTTTTCCTTCCTAGTTCTGAGTGAAGATAATGAGTTTAGAGGTTACGTTACTGATAGTGCTCCATCACAGAAAATCTGTGCTTTAGTGATGTGCCTCTTGAAAAATTTTTCATTAAATTAACAGGCAATAGATTTAGCAAGTACCAGAATTTGGGTTTTTTAAATCCTCCATCAATTATAGTATTATCTCTTAGGATATACTGAGTCAGATCCTCTGACAATACAAAATAATGCCTTTTGAATCCAACCTTGCTTTGACAAAAGTTGTGATAATTCAGTACCTTTCAAAATCAGTCCACTTCTGCAACTGCCTTGTTTCAGGATATTTGTAAGAGACCCTCTTGAATTCAAAATATGGGTTCTAAAATGCTGTGTTTGGCATTGGACCTCTGCCAAACTCCACATAAGTAATTTGAATAAAAATTCAATATGGTAGTTTTAGATCTAGATAGACATTAGTGATGGGGGTCGGGAGAATAGGGGACAAGGAATAGCTGTCCGCCTGCACAACTAATAAATGGGTTTTGAGACACACTCTAAAGGTGGAAACATCCAAATGTTGCAAGGAAAAGAAGTTTGAAAAAAAATTAAAAGCACCCAAAGGCAAATGTCAAACACCATTAAACATTATTTTAAAAGTCTTTTGTTCATGCAGGTTACTTATGTTTTAAATATTGTGAGTATTCTAAGCTGCTTTGCACAATTAAAGTTGGACAAACGAACTAAATAAATTTCAAAGCAGATTTTACTAATGTAGAATTTGAAAAAAAAAAATTTAAGTTAGGGTTGTGATTATATTCTTAGAAGGACCAACATCTAGAAATAATGTTAAGTGTCTTACTAGGACATGAATGAGAATCCTTGAAACACTGGAAATTTTTATTACTTTTTTCTGTAATGTGCTTAACCTTTTGTCAGCATTATTTAATGAAAACTGACACCAGCTCTGTGTTCTACTTCTTACACATCTATGATAGTCAACATCAATATTCAGCATTTATGAATCCTAACTTAGCAATGCCATACTAGCTCCTACCTCTATTTGTGCCCACTTAATATGAGATATTCAACAAATGCACCTATAATAGGAGATGCATAGTCCTAGCCTTCTTGGGCAGTCAACGGAGAAGGAGAGCTCCACAGAAATTATTTTTGAATGATGTTTCATGGGCTTCTGTAGAAGGAAAGCTGGCACATCAATTGGCTTCAAAATGACATTCATCCAAAATTCTACGACATCATCTCTGGGATCCCACAGACTTGAAGACAACTACAAGCTGCTGTTTACACAGATAAGAGGTACCTAATATTTCTCAGCTCAGTGTCTAACCATGACCTATTATAGCTTCCTGTTATAGAAGGAGAATCACTCTCTCCCTTCAAAAGACAGGAATAATTTATTTTCACTTGCGCTTTCATCTCTACACACTGGCCAAGTGAGTGAGAATCGCCCTTTCCTAAAATGAAAGCTGACCCTTGCATTGTTCATGGTGGTTGAGAGAGTGATGAGCAGTGATGAGTGCGGATCTCAGGTCAGCTCCTGATGTCCTCCCCACTCTCTCAGCTACTCAATCTGCCTATTCATCCTAAACATCTGTGCTGTGACCAGGAGGGCTGGCCGGCACCTGGGGGACATGCATGAGTGTGAGAACAAAAGGGAGCATGGGCATCGGCACTTTCTGTGCCTGCACTGTCATTTTTCTGTTGTATGACTGAGAGCACAATACACTACCCAGGTCATAAAGTGAGAGTGGTTGTCTATATTCTTGGTACATTGATACCAACATCCCTGTCCCATATTAAGTCTGCCTCTGGCCATCACGGTGGTATCTGAGTTTAGGATAGGACCTAAGGGTTATATTACTCAATTCTCAGACAAATATTTTTACCTGAGATTTAAAAACAAACAAACAAACAAACCAAATAAATCCACAAAAAAAACCCAATGAAAACAAATAAACGAATGAACAAAACCAAGAAAAAACTCCACAGTAGCAACTTGCAAGGCTTTGCCTTCAAAAGAAACCCCACATTCGAGTAGCAAATGTTACTTGATACAAATACAGACAGGCACTTTTATGCAATTTAGCTTAGCACAATTAACAAAGGATATTGCTATTAAAGTGCTGCAGGAAGAAAAAGTACTTCCCAAGCATCTAACAGCAACATGTTGTGATCCATGGATATAAATGACCAAATAAAATGGAAGGATGTAAAAATGTCACGGAAACACCAGCTGTAATCTAATGTTGTCAGTGCACTGCACACACACCTTGTAATTACTAACACATTTGGCCTACAAACACTTTTTAGACAGGGGAGCCCACCACTTCTATACCTTTTTGCCTAAGCTGCTTTTGATCCCTCACAATTGATTTAAACTCTTCCATCTCTTCCTTTGCCCAGTGAATTAATGATGACATGATATCACAGGGCTAGGGGGAAGGCAAATGGAGGTATTTACACACATGCCAAGCAGATCTATTTGCAAACTTTCAGTAAATTAACGCAATAAAAGTCCTAACCTGCTGGAAGCATTTTAAGCTCTTCTCTTTTCCTCCCAGCTTCTTCTGACACACACACTTCTCCTCCTTTTGCTGCATTAAACTGCTTTTCCACTTCCTTTACAACAGTGGGAATACTTCCCTTATGGGTGTCAGGATCTTTCGGGGAGGTCAGAGGTTGCCCTGCAGAGGAAATGACAAGCTGTGAAATGTAAAAGAACAATTCCTTCCACATGTTTCCTTGCTCCAGGAGCAGTAAGGGGTTGTCGGCTAGCATCAGGATGGGATGGACCAGGCCTTTGTCTTAGCAGTCCTGTCAAAACTAATTTACAATTAAAGACCTGTGTAACTGTTTAAAGCTTTACAACTCTGGCGAGTTTCAAGGACTGCTGAAGCCAAGTGGTACAAACCAACTTTATTATTAACAAGCACGCAGACAAACAGAATGAAGACAGACAGAAAAATGCTGTAAATTGTAAGTAAGCAGAAAAACTGTACACCTGAAGATTATCTCTATGATATTTATTTCTGTTATAAGCTCATGGTTTGGGAACTAAAAATATTTCCGTGGTTCTAACTTTTCCTCTGGTTGTTGCATAGGCTCCAGGAATCACATGCACTGCTGTTAGAGAGCAAATCTTTCAAGGGGAGGGAAAAATAAAGACCAGGGGGAAAATGGGCTAATTGTCCATTTGAAAAAAAAATAAAAAGAAAAAAAAAGAAAAAAAAAATCTTTAAAACCATTCTCAAACAACTGAGTTCCCGACTTCCCAAAGTATAGTAGAACATGGGGGGTGTGAGGGACAAGCAGACTTTCCAGAAAGAAAATTTTAGACATAGAAAATCTGCATGTGGGTGTTTAGTCCAAAGACAGCTGAGGTAGTCAGAGTCTTCCTACGTGACAAATCTTCTGCCTTGTAAGCACTCTTTTTAAGTCTTGATTGCACATCAGTATATGCCTGGTACAGTGCTGACCATAACTTCAGGACTTCAAATTGGCCAATATTAAAGTGGTGTGAGTAAGTCAACTGGAATGAAAAATATTTTTCTTTGGCTCTAAACACTACAGAGTATAAACCTGTTTCCCACCTGCATGTTTTATTTGATCACAATTTCAGATGGGCACAAGTAGGTGTTTGCATGTCAAGTCAGAACAACAGCACGAACAGAAGAACAAGCATTTTGAAGAATGTTCCCAAGTGCAGAGTAACACTTCCCAAATCAGCCCAAGTCTGACCGAAAAGTGTTTGAGCTGGAGAACTAATACATAAGTGCTGTCTAGCTACTTTTCTGAAGATGAAAGAGCTGCCACTTCCAAAAAAGTCTGAGTTTAGCTGACATTTTGCACATGTGAATCCCCTTTTCTATGGACACTGAACTCAAAAGGGTCTTGCTGTAGATTTCACTGTGAGAAAGAGTGTTTTCTTGATGAATTTGTATATTTAGTGTTTTATATGAAGATTCACACTTTTGAAGTTTTCATGCATTTAGAAGCCCATGTTACTTAGATCTAGGTCTCTGAAGGCAACATTTCTGTTAGTTGCATCAAATTTTCCTACCTAAACTGCTTCTATTAGAGTTGTTACCACCTTCCCCACAACAGCTAACGAATTCCACACAGAAATCCTCATTTATTCATTGACAGAGACTGTTGATCCCTTAATGGGCAACAGATGAACAACAGAAGATTTTCTTAAGAAAAGCAAAGGATGGTGGTAGTGTAAGCAGAAGCTGTCTTCTACCATGAGCCTCTTATGGAATACCACTTCAAAGGAATGGAAAGATATGGTTTGGACTTAGAGACACACTAGATCTGATAATGTAATGCATTCCCATGCATTGTACTCTGGAGGAGAGAGCCTGTGCAGCAGGGAAGAGCCATACATAGTCCAACTGAGAGCTGTGGTTTAGAAGAATAATATAGCCTGGAGTTAGTTAATGGAAATAATATGAAGGTTCTCTCTTAAACTTCTAAAACCAAGACAAACTTGAAGTGAAGGTTAAAACACCATCTCCTAACCTGCTCTATTTTGCAGCACCACATATGGTATTGATATATAAGATCACTCACTATTTAGACTACTGCAGTAGAGTGAGTTACAGAGCACTCGTCTTCATTTAGACTGTTCTTGCTTTCTCTGGTTTGTGTCTCAACCTTAATGTCACTTTAACAGAGCTTTCCCCCCCTCTACTTTTGGTGGTTTAACAGATATAATACTGTATTTATAGGGCATATCAATGTGAGACGGCTTGCCACAGATCATAAACACATTTTTCTGTGGGAAATGTTGAAGTTGTGATTTTCAACACGTGATCTCCAGTTCTCTAAGGTTTGTTCCTTTAATTGTAAATAGCCAGAAAGTCATCAAGCTAGCATTTAATAAACTTTTAATTTGAAATGGATTACCACATGTTGTGTTTGTTTACCCATTATTAAATCTCTTAGCAACATATCACCAGCAGAAACAGCATACTGTAGCACTGCATAGATACATTAAAAAACAAACCCATGGGGGATATTGGCAGCTAATAATATCTTTAAAGAAGGCTCCATGAAAAATAAATAAATATAAACAATATCAAAAATTACTCCTAGAAATTTTTTTAGTGCAAATCTATTTGGCAGGGAAATTGCAGATCTTCTATGATCACCTTATCAGCAAATTTCAGAGGTCTGCATGCAAAATAAGACATACACTAATGCTCTTTCTCAGTTCTTCAAAATACATATTTCTTGACTTTTCAAACTGTGTATCATGAGTTTTTCCATGTATTTCCAGGAAGCGTGACCTATTTATGTGCATTCTCTATGTGCATTTCCAAATGTGTATGAAGACTGATGGTAGGACCAAACAAGTTTGATTCATTTAGAGTTTGTCCATAATTCTTCACTGTTGAGAAGAGTTGCCTGCAACTCCACCTTTTGGATCTGCTATTCATGTTTTGCTGCACCTTAAAGCACCTTGGCAGATATGTAGAAGATAAATGACAACAAAAAGGACCTTACAGCACAGTGTATGTTTACACCTCCATGCTTCTGGTATCAAGGTGGTTACATAAAAGTCTTTTGATCACAGTGCAATTGCTGCTTAGCCTAAAAGCATCTCAGGAAAAACCTCATTTTCTTTATCTCCTAAATCATTACTCAATGCCTGAAAAATACTTCTACTGACTTCTTTTCATGTTATACTTCCAACCTGAGCTGCCCATCTACCATGCTGAATGATTATTGTTTATCTGTTCTCTTTCTTTCCTTCCAATACACTTTTTTTTTCCTCACATGCCATCTACAGTGCTACTGTTCTCAAATGCCTGAGGAACCTCTGTCCTGGAGAACTAAGTCTCTGCTTCAGATCTTTACATCATATTCACAGATACACTACAATCTGTAGGTTGGCTGCATCCTTGTTCATTAAACAAAAGAAAATATAGAAATAACTGTTTAGCAAAAATGAATTATTTTTGCCCATGGCAGTCACATCCCACAGGCAGAAAAAGAAAAGAGCAACAGCAGTCTCCTACCATTCTTCTCATTACTTGATTTCTAATAGTAGAGGAACAATTTGTGAGTCCATTGCAAAATAGTCAATTACATCTTCAGTGTAGCTACATCAGAAGGCTCACAGAGGCCAGGAAGGATGCTCAGTCTAAAACTAACATTCAGCTTTTTAAGAAAGCTTCTGGGGAGGTCTGCTGTGTATGAGCAAATGATAATTGTCTTTCCTATGGATTACCACTTGATTGAATCTAATGGAATTTTATAGGAGTAGCATAAGGCATGCCTCTGATGCCAGAACTATCTCCCTGCCGAATTTGAAGTCCCTGTTGTAGCCCAGGGAGGTGCTAGAGTTCTTCAAACAATAGAAAAAAAAAAGTATCTTTTTTTTTTCTCTTTCTATAAGCTTCGTGCCATAAGCAGCTGAAATGTTACTGCTGTGACATTCCAAGCATTATTCAGCCTTAAGCATAGGCCAGCACAGAAAGTTTAATCCTTAGCAATGAGGTTTATTTAAATTGCTCACACCTGAAACAAAGTTAAACCACCTTAATAAAAAGAATCACAGTATTCCTGCTACAAGGCATGAAGAAAAAAATCTAGTTTAACAAGATCAATAAGGACTAGCCAACATTAAAATTAAACTATGGGTTGCTCCAGTGAAAACCCAAATAAAAACATCAAAGTTTGAATCCATCACCTTGCGGTCCAGACTGTACAACCTTCTCTGAGACATCATTCTTTTCATCAACACTTGAATACATGTGAAGTTCAGGTGGGAGATGAAGATGCATATCACACTTACTTTGCTTATCTGAATCCTGTGGCAGTTTAGTTATCTATTAAATGGGGGGGAAAAAATAAATAAAAAGAAAGCAGTTCAGAATTCCACTAAACCAGAACATACTTGTTTGTACACAGTTTGTGAACCCTAGAAGTCCAAGATGTTGCTATGAGAATTTTAGGAAATTCTTGTTTCTCTCTGCTCCATTTGTTACAGTTTTCTCCTGTATAAGTTTACCATGTATGTCTTCCCCCTGCTTACTGACTAAAGCAGACATCCCTGTAAATGGGGGGGGGGGGAACAACAATTCACAATCCAACTGCAGAATCATATGGGAAAATACAGATACCCTGGATTCTTAAATCATCCCACTTATACATTGATTTGAAAGATTAATTTTGCAGCTTTGGAATCTTCACCTCCTCCTTACCCAATAGCTCTATTATTTCTGACATTCTCTTTCCTAGCATATATTAGGTGTATTTGTTGTATAAATTCTTATCACTTTATTTGTTTCTGAAGCTACTTTTACTGTCTTTTACTCTTGGTAGACCCAAAAATAAGATTGTCTGAAAATCATCACTACAAGAAAATTAAAAACTGAAATTTCTATAAAGTAAGCCCACGTTATAATTGAGATGCTTTCAAAATTCATCTATTTTGGTATTTTTCCTTAGTAAAATTTGACTATAAAAGAGTTATAAGTTTAAGATCTTGTTAAGATTCTGAATGAAGAAACATATTTCAGCTACAATAAACCCCTTAACTTGCCAGAAAAAAGTTTCCACTGGAGAGAAGTTCTTAATTTACGTCCATTTTCACTAAAGACATACAAATAATGTCACGTTTGAATTATGTCAAAACTGTTCAAAAGTAAGGTTCCTACCACAACAGAATCATGCTCACTAGCTGGAGGTCCCACACATGCAAGTAAAACAATATCATAAAAAATATTATTTTATCTTGTAGTCATGTGAAAGCACCTCTGTAATTCAGTAAAACTGTGGAGGAAATTAACATGTACTAGTGGCAGGGCCACACTCAGAATTTGAACTCTTGATCCAATTACCCAGCACCCCAAGAAATATTTTTATATTTTAAATAATCCTAAAATCCAGCTGCAAAGCTGCAAAATATCTACTAATTTCATGTAAAAGTTGGAGGTGCATGAGATTTAGATACTCAGGGTGTAGGCTGAGAAGCTGCTTTTTGGAAAGACAAATATTTTAAGGCTGACAGAAGGAAATAAGATCTGTTGTGAGTAACAATGACTAAACAAATAGGTCTATTTTTTTTTTAATACAAACCTGAAAGTAGAGATTGCATAACCAATGATCCAAGTCTTGAGAAATAAAGTTTTCAATTTTTTTGAATCTGTCAACTTTAGGGTCGTAATGGCCTCTCAGGAAGGGACATTTAAATTTTCCCTCCAAAGCATTAAAATTGTTATCACATAAGGGAAAAGCTCCCCATCCTACTTCTTGATCAATCCAAGCATAGGTCCCACGAAGAAGGAAAAGTTCAAAGAGGAGTACCATTCCTGGCTTCATAGCTTTTCTATGTGGTAGAACCTAGCAAAGAAGGAGAAAAAGATTTATTAGTTACAAAAACATCACAAGGGAACTGACTTTCTTTTATCATATAAAGCTCTACAAACTTCATACCTTTGAACCAATTTTGCATGCAAAAACAATTAACAACTCTTCTCTTTGCAGCAAATCATGTATTTGAACAATTTTCCACTCCGAGAAAAAATGCTGTGCTTTTTTTGAATGTTAATTTTGTGATTTCTTTGTTTTCCCCTTGGCTTTCTGAAAGCATTCATTTTCTGTCTTTATTTACCAGTGGTGTGAAAACATTGCCACTAGAAAACTTTAGGACAGAGTGACAAAACATCTTGGAAATCTGAGGTGTCCCTGTGAGGGCTTGCTGAGACACTACTGGATTTGTCTTGCAGCAACTTTGGAGACCTCATCCAAACACCCAATGAGAATACTTGCAATCTTGCACCTCACTGAGTCACAAAATCTTCTCCACCCAGTTCTGGGAATAATGTTGGTACACAACAGCCTTCCTCCTCTAAATTAAAGCTCTTATTGCAAAGTATGTGAACCTCAGTGTAGGGTCAAAAAGCATTTTGAGGTAAAAAACTCTCAGCATACCAAAGGCTGGCAAACAGTGTTTACACTTTTCATCAGATAGGTAGAGATATTCTTCTGAGTGGTTTGGAGCTGTGGAAGAGCTTGGGGCTCTAGGGCAATTGTGTTCCCATGGCAAAGACTTGAAAATTAGTGATGAAGAAACACCCTGAAGTAATATGAAGTTATGCAAATCTGTCTGTAAGGTTTTGGCAGGTAGAGAAGAGAGAAGGGTAAACACAAAGAAAAAGTAATCTGATTCTATGCCACAGTTTTAACTCTTTTCTTTAATCAAGGTGAGGGTTGACCCAGGTCCTGTTGAACAATTCTAATACATTCAAAAGGACAAATAAAAGAAAAAAAAAACATACAAACGCTAGATCACAGAAGATGACTACCATCATACCCAGGCTAACAGATATGAAGAATGGTCACCTGGAGACAAGGGAAGCAAATACGTCAGCTATGCCTCTCAGACAGCAAAACATCTGCTTTGCCACTATTCCTACACATTCTCCTGAGAGAAATGGGGCTGCTTAATCTCTTAAATCCAATATCTTAAATCTCTTAAATCCAATTTAAATTTAAGATTTAAATCTTGAATCTTCTTTAATAAAGACAGTGTTCTGTTATTTGAATGTTTTTCACATTTTATTGTTCCCATTTCAGTCCTCACAGTTCATAGCAGCAAATGCCTTGGTACACTTGCCTGCTCAACATTACCTTGCCTTCCAGCCAAGGTAGAGAAAGAGGTGCCTTTTCTCCTGCTCTCCTCCCTGTGAACTGCAGAAGCCCACAATATTCAAGGGCATCTTTTGACTTTGAGTGTCCAGTAGGATATACCCTCTGTACTTTTTGAAACTCAAGAATAAGACCTCCAAGTAGAAGACATCAATGCAAATCAATCACCAACTATGAAAAGCCTAAAATACCTGTCTTAAATTAGTAGGAATTTCCTCAATCAAGATGACATTCTGCAGTCAACAACCAGCCACAAATCTGTACTGCTTCAAAGATTTCTGTATGTAAGTACACACCCCAACACAGCTCTTTCTCAATGTGCATATTTAAATACAAGCATCACTTCTTTTATACACATTATTGAAGAGCAATGTAATTAGCATAATCCAAGTGCAGCCAAACTTTTTCTTTCTTTGTCTGAAAAAGCTAAGGGGTTTCCCCATACCAACAACTGCCATGTTAGGAGATGATAAGTGTTCATGGTTGTGCTGCATTTTGTAACTTTTTTGAAGAAGTAAACATAAATTATTATTTCTAATAATATGCCTTCCTCTTTCAAGTTATATATTGTGATTAGATAATGGCAAGACAGAGGAAGTCACTTAAGGAAATCTTTTAAAACTATAAATATTTTCATTATTATGTAGGTGTACTTTATATTAATTATGTAAATATATTCTAGGACTTAGTGTAGGCTTAAAATGAAACAGAAGCATCTGTTGAAAAATGCCATAACCCTGTGGCAGCTGCTATTAAACCATTAACAGTATCAGATTTCATTCAAACCAGATTTACCATTTTCTGTAACAGCCCGTGGGAAAGCTAAAAACATTAGGCACAAATTACTGACAAAAGAGATCCTTAATCAAGCCATACATTTCATTTGGCTAGCTGGGTGCTAGATAGCAACCTCTGTGCTACAAATTAAAGGTGATGGTTACAACGATGTGATCAAAGACAGTTACCTGCATTATCAAACAATCCCAAAGCATTAGCAGATGAAATTACTACTGCATCACAACACACATTTTGGTTTCCCCCTTGATTCCCAGACTTACTCTTCTCTTCAGAATAACTCAACAGTACATGCTCTTCCACTAGCCTGCCTATAAACAGACAGTGGTCAAGCAGATGTGTAAGGGTAATCATCGTGACTATTAAAAATTTATTTCTTTGTTTCTGGCTCACAGTTATTCTTCATTTGCTGTAAGCTCTTATCCTGGACCTACACTGCAACTCACTCTTTAGGACTGGAAGCACCCATTTGCTTACAGTTATAGGAGCTGAATGTTTAAACCATGCCATGACAGAAACACATATTGACAAAACATAAACAAGCATTTTATACCACACCTGTCTGCTACCAGGTCTGAGGTTGTAAGGACTATCATTCTGGGAGTCCTTATGCATGAACAGTGGGTGCCTGACCCAAGTAGGACAGTGTCACACATCTTAGCTTACATGGTCAAATAAAACATACCTATCAAGTAAGAAATTTCTTTATGTTGGATCCATACAAAAATCCTGGCCAAGCTTCTGTATGTTACTCTATGCTGGCATGCCAAGCATCCATGGAGTTGCCTGTGGGCTTTCACTTCCATCCTGTTGGGCTTTGGGAGGGTGATTTATAAGGGAGGAACTACTGGCTAGGGAGGGATAGCCAGAGTGAAACAGGAGAGTTTCAAAAAGGAGGCAGGTCGTCTCAACATCCATGCTAAATCTTTTCCCATTGCCACAATGAACACTCATCGCCATCACATCTCACTGTCCCGCAGCCGAAGGGTCAGACAGCCCTGGGAGGGAGCTCAGTCTTGTGCCACCTGCCCTTCATTAGCCTCCTCCTAGGCAGTGAGCCTGGGAGCTGGGATTTGGGGCATGGCCAGCATGGCCTGTAGGCACAGATGCACAAAGGCATTTAGACACATAGTTCCTATTGAAACCCACAGTCCTGTGCCTGTGTGTCTCTGTGGGTTTAGGCTGTTATGCTCTGGTACAGGGAAGGGAACACCTTAGGTGGATAGAGGAGGAGGATGGCAATCAGTAATTGCTCTTCCTCAAGAGACTCAGAGCAGTGCCTGGGATAGGCAAGGCACAGGCAGCTCAAACTGACCAGTTTGTTTTGATGGATTGTTTTGTTTCCAAAGAAAAAAAATTGAATTGGCGGTTGTATTTTTCCTGCTGGTGGCAACCTCATTTGAGGCACTATCTGATAAGTTAGTCCACAAGCCTGCACCAAAACTGCTGACATTCAAAGAGACCATACTAGATAAAGACAGATTCCTGAGTTTTAAAGGGTCTACTCTCCAACACCTTAGCTCAATGTTTCTCCTTGCTCAGGTAAAATTTCCATTGAGGTCTGTGAGGTATACAGACTTTTACAGTACTATGAAGGAATCAAGCACCTACTTTTTACTGGTGTAATTTCTTCTGCAAAGAGAGATGCAGCAGAGAATAAATAATACTTGTGTGTGCCTGCACAGGCACAAGTAATTCTTCTTAGTCTGCAGTTAGCAGTGTTTCATTTAATTGAATTAAATCATAGTGAACCAAAATTATCTCTTGCCACTATTTCTGAATTCAACTATTTTATATGAGTTTTATTGTAATATATCTTACTTCCCCATATGCCACCATAGTTTCAACAAAGAAATCATAGAGAGAATGAATTTTATTTGAATGTTTCAATAAACAGATCCAGTGTGAGGCTTTGGGGTTTTTGACTTGCTCTTGGGCTTTAACCTTGTCAGAGGAGAAATAAACTTTTGCTTCTCTTCTCTGCGTCTTCAAATATTTTCAATTTAGAAAAAAATGAACAAATGTTACATTACTTAATTCACATTACACAAAAATTTGACCACTGCAACTCAAACAGATTAAATTTAATTAAAATATGCAAAGAGAATTCAATAGTTACTTATTATATAGAAAAAATCTTGAAAAATATAATATAAATTAATGGTTCATTATTTCTGATTATAAGAACCACAGCACATGAATTTCAGTAGTGCAAAACACAGGTAGAAAACCTTTTAAATAGGAAGCAGAACCCATCATTAACAAAAAAAAATTAATTCACTATGTAAAATGAGTAGTGCTGGAGATGAGGCTGTTATTGTCAAAATAAGGTGAAGCTTTCACAACCAGATTTCAAGCTCTCCCTGTTTATGTTCAAGGCCAGTATAAAGGCAGAGGGAAGGGCATTCTTGGGAAGTGTTGTGTAATTTTGAAATTTATAAAAGGCCAGAGGGGAGGAAATAGAAACATAGACTGAAGTAAAAGTAAAATATCATGTTATTAGGGTTTTCCAAAAGTCCCTATCTATCATCAGAATGTCCTGGAATAGCTGAAAACTTATTTCCCCAGCTTTCCATCACTGCCTGTCTTTGAACAGGTAACTGAATACAAAATAACACAGAAATCAGAGAGGGACCATACAGTGCAATATCATTTATTTCCCCACTTTTTTTTTCCTTTCCCTATCTTTGGAAAGAGACAACAGACCTTTCAAGTCTTACACAAGTCAAATGACTTCTCTCCCTGACTCCTCTCCCTGCAGCTTGCAGATCTCCTTAAGCCTTTATGCAGGACCACCACCTTTCCAGCCCCCCGATTGTGGCAGAGTATGGACCAGAAGCTGTTGGGCCGCAGCACGCAAGTTCAGGCTCACGGATGATCCGCCTGGAGCACAGGAC